GAGTCATCGCACCAGTGAATTTTAGTCCTATTTTACGAGTAGTACACCTTACTGGGGTGTTTTTAAACCCTCTACCCCACAGGGGAAATAATTGTACGACATCCCCAGAGAAACGTACCCTTTTCAAAAACCTTCACCATAAAATATTTATTTAAAACTATCTTTTAGTGCACAAGTTTCAGCTTAATTAAAATTATTAATTTATCGCTGTTAGATTTTATCTTCCTTTCCTTTCTGTCTTCCCACACTCCGATTCCGTTTAAGCACTACAGTGCGCATCTTTTCAAAAGGCAATAAAATTTGCATTTAACATGCAATTTTTTGTATAAAATTACCATTCACCAATTCGCCCATTTAAGTTGTCATGAAGAGTAATAGTACTAGCCACAAAAAACATATACATAAATAAGCGATAATCATTATTCCATATTTCAGTAAGCAAGAAGCGGTAACAGTTGCTAAACAAATAAATAGCAGTGTTTTTAATAAAGAATGCGTAAGCGGCGATTGAAAGCGAATTCATGAAAAAGAGCCAGTCTAAAATGTCGAAAGCTCATCGGAGACGCGGCGCAGTGCAAGGTGATGCTGCGCATTGCGGTAATCCACAAATATTCGATCGAGTTTCAAGACCAAATCAATAAATAACCTTCATTTTCATAAAACAACGACAAAATGTCAAAAATTAACTTATTGGAAGATAGAGCGCAAACAAAATTTGTTAAATCATGGCATTGTAAAGCTGGCAAATAAAGAATTAAAAAAAAAAAAAATCCGAAACATTTATATGATTAGAGAACATGGAAAAATTTGCATAAAACTCAACAAAATTCTCGAAAATACATACATAAATATGTACATAAATATCGTCACCTGAAATGCAAAAAGATGTAACAAACATCGTCGCTGAAATGCAAAAAGACGTAACTAATAAAAAGTTCAAAATTTACTTTTTGATTGCTTTTGATGTCCATCATATTTTATCGAATTACAACTCCCACATAATTTTATGAGAAAAAATTATTGGTCACGACTTTTTCCATTTCAGTTACGATGTTGTTACGTCTTTTTGCATTTCAGGCGACTATATGTACATATGTGTGTACCCACGAACAAAACTCCAAACTTAAGAACAAGGCATCGTGATAGAGCCGTGATAATTTCTATATGTAAATATGCTAAACTTAGATATTGCAATCTTTTATGCTATAAATTATTACAAAAAAATTAAGATATGAATCTACAAAACAATGTACGAGGGCAGTTCGATGTTGTTTTTGTTGTAGCGGCTACTCAACCCCGCTCAGATCGGCTAGCCCATCAAATGTTGACGTCGGGCTTAGCTAAAGGGGGTCCAAGAAGTGCGCAACAACTTCCACGGGGTTTGTCCATAAGGAAAAGGGCTTAAGTTGAGTGGGATTTTGGGGGCATGCGAAGAGGTGCCGTGAGTCATGTGGTGACTCTCCGCATGCCGGGCATGCGTTGGCTACATTTGCGTTCACTCTGCTCAGGTACGAGTTTAACCTGCCGCAGTAGCCAGGGCGAAGTTTGTGGCTATTGTGGTGCAAGTCTCCTAAGGCAGACAAAGCTCTGTGCCGTCCACATCGGGTTGTCGTGCGCTCAAAATGGAAATCACAGGTCGGGAGCCGATGTAGGTTGAGACCGACTCCCTGTGAATACTGTGTATGGCCTGTCGGTAGGTTGTCGGGTTCAGAGGTTGTTTATGAATCTTAGGACTTCGGGCGTCAGGTCGTATAGATGCCTCCTGACGTACATACCTTGGCGAGGGGTCTGCTAAAAGTACCCGCGTCTGTGGTACCCTCCTAGGAACTGCTTGCAGAGCAATGTGTTATGCTCCTTGATGGGAAGCATCTGAGTCTCGTCGTGTAGGTGATGTTGGGGCGACATCACAAGGCATCCAGTCGCGGTCTGCAGGACCGTATTCTGACATAGCTGTACCTTCGCCCACTGCGTTCTGCTAGTCCCCGGCGGCCAATTGCGTTGTGTGTTGCCAACAACCTTTCTTTGCCTTTGCCACAGATTCTGCCGGCTAGAGACTTGAGAACATTGTTGCGGCTCTGTACTCTATTGACAATTGCGTTTGTATGCGTGAAGAAGGAGAGCAGATTGCCGAAGGTAACTCCGAGAATTTTCGGGTTATTCACCGCTGGAATTGGTTCGCCATCGACGTGAATACCCGGCTGCAGCCTGACCTCATTCTTGCAGTTGGTAAAAGGGTTGCCGAAGATTTCGTAGGGGGGAGGGTTAGGCTCCTTGCAGTTAAGAAGCGAGAAGGTTTGGAGAGGTAGCCGTTTACTTTCGAGTATAAGCCGTAAATTCCATTCCCGGACGATATTATCGAGCAATCGTCAGAATAGGATACAATTGATACTCTCTGTGGTGGTTGAGGTAACTTTGACATATAATAATTGAACAGCAGCGAGGAAAGGACACCACCTTGTGTATTCCCCTGTTTAGTTTACGTGGGTTTTCGTCTATAAAAATGACTGACGAATGTCGACCACTCAGATACTTCGCTGACCACCGTTTGAGTCCCTGTGGTCTGCTAGTAGCGTGGAGTGGCTGACGGTGTCAAACGCCTTTGACAGATCCAACGCTACTAGGACTGTTCTCTCACTGGGGCGGTTTCGGTTAAAGCCACGAGTTATCTGGTTCGTGTAGTGAAGGGGTAGCAAGGCTCTCCCTTGTTGGCTAATTTCCACGAATTAAGCACTGGGACCACTCTGCCTATCTTCCAGGTATCCGGAATGATAAGAGTGGCCATAGTCAGGATGAGGACCCGCAGCACGTAATTTTTTCAGCATCAGCATACATATTCCGTCGAGTCCAATGGCTTTGAAGGCTTTCGCTTTCACGATGGCTACCTGAACCTCCCCGCTGTTGAAAGCCAGCGGCGCACTAGGTGTTAGCAGTTCGTGTAGCCTTCTGGCCATTCGACGCTTGGCTTTGTCCGCCGGAGGATGCAGCGTAAACTGCTGACTATATAGCTCACGCTTCATTCTGGACCCGAGGAAGCATAGTCGCCAAAACAGATTTCGACTCTGTCGTCATGCATCGTCGGGTAGGACAATGGCCTCACGGTTGACCAAAGCTTGCTCACATCAGAGGCGAAGTTACAGGTCTTCTGATGCTCTTCCCACTTCTTCCGCTTATGTAATCCTTCCTTATTCCTAATTCGGAGATTTCCGGGATAGGCCTGATGAAGGTTGCCACGCTCATCATCTAGAACAGCCGCTTCAGCAGAAAAATTTAAACGGGGGTCCGAAATGCATCCAGCTGGAATGAAGCTGGCTACAGCAGTAGTGAAAACCCTGCGAAGCTTACGCTCACCGACGATAAAGTCGGTTGGTGTGGGTACGGCAGTGAAGGTGCTTTCAGTAACTTTCACGAAGCCGTTCCAATCGGCTTTGTTGGCAGGTTTTTCAATCGAGATAACTATGGGCAGAAGCTCTGACGCAAGTGTCAGCATAGGTCGCCACGTTATGCTGTTTATCAGATCAGCGCTTACAATTGTTATGTCAGACGAGCTACTGCAGCTGGCCATAACACTAGTGGTCGCATCGTCGTTCATTGTGCAGAATGTCGAATCGTTTATCTGCTCAGCTAAGTGTATTCCCCTACGATAATTCGACAGGGTCGAGTGCCAAAAATCGTGGTGCACGTCAAAGTCACCGACTATCATACGGTTTTCACCTCTGAGGAGCGCACTTATTTCAGGGTGATATCATGTCGGCAGCTGGGGGTATATAAATATTAAAATTTCGAGCTCGACATTGCCTGATCAGAAATAAATACCCTGACATTCTAGGATGATATTCCTGCGGTTGATGTCTGCTTCGATGAGACGATACTGCACGGTGTGATGCGTGATGACCGCTAGGCCACCGAACCGAACGGTGTATTGAGATACGGCTGTTTGCGCCAAATACCGCGAATTAAGCTTTCTTAATATGCCATACAAGGCTCTATCGGCAATTTTGTTGGAAAGCCTTTCATGAACCAACTGATTGGGTATCGTCAGTGTGACTTTAGAGATGAAAAATCCTCGAAAAGACTATAGGTAAGCAAATCGACGCATCACACCCCTTCGTAAAGTTAGTACGTGCACGTGAGATAACGGTGAATAGAACTTCTTGATCCGTTTAAAATCTCCGTGCCGAGATTTTGGTCTTACTTCTTCAATTTGAATTATAGCGGCATCATATACAGCAAAAGCAAGATACTGCTGGCACATGCAAGTTACATTGACAACGATGGCTGACCATCAGGGACATTAGTTCAGCATTTTCAAGATTTCAATCTTCCATTATGTCCATCATTTTGTAAAGCATAGAGACAGATGACGACAAAAGTGAGAATGGTTTTAGGGCTTTCGAAAGAATTAATCATACGCAAGATCTAAATATGTATGTATGGACCTTTTCGAACTGTATGGTGAAAAGAATAAATATAAAACGATTACATTGGCTTGGGCTCTGATGCTCTGTTGAATAGATCCTTCGGTTCGCCGCCCATTGGTGGATGTCGAAGGGTCCTACGATTGCAACGGAAGAGCCAGACACAGTTGCACATATCTGTGTACCTATCTATCTACATTTGAGATGAACAACTAGCACGACTTTTTAAAGGAGAGAGGCGATTGGCCTCTGCCCAAAGCTTACAAGGACCAATACTACATACATACATCGGTTCAATGGTTTGATATATGTTTTGAGAGTGACCCTATTTGCTTATGGAAATTTGGTCGCAGATTGCCCCCAATGTAAAATATGATATTGCATTGGCTCACATAAAAGAGGACATATTTTTCCAAAATATACATATGATTTATTAATTATAGCCATTCACTATTCCAAAAAAATTTGGCCAGTTAATGCTTTGCGATCAGAAATAACGCCGACAGAGTATAGAGAGTGAACTAAGTAAAAATATTTCATTTCGATTAGGACATTCGAATTTCTTGTTCCAAACCTTTCTTCCACTTATCGCATACGACTTTTCGGCAACTCCAAATTTCTGTGCACTTCCGGCTTTATATCCACCGCTAGTTTCATTATCATATTTATCACTTGTTCTCGATTTTTCGCCACACGCTCGGCAAGGTCGGCAATTTTGTCTTCCGTATTCCTTTCCACTCTGATTCGTAACATATCTGTTGCGACATGAACTTTTTCAGAAAGTTCAGCCAAAATTTCTTCACGCTCCTTATGTAATTCTTGCAACTCTTTGCTTGCTGCATGTTTTGCTTTCTTCAATAGTGCCAGCCTGCGTCTCCGAGCCTCCGCTATTATATCGACCGCATGTTTCTCGGCATCGATCAGATGTGGCAAAGGTGTTTGATGTACCTTCATTTATTGATCTTATTAAGATAACAGCGGATTTGCTATTTTAAAGGATTTAGTGATTATTGTACATGTAAGTATGTAAGTATTTAGTTTTCAATTTATTAAAATGGCAATTTTACTTTTTACAGAAATTCTATATTTGTTTATAAACAAACAAAACAGACAACGAAAAGCCAACCGGGATAATTGTGTGCAATTAAATTAGAAAGATTTCATGGCTTTTGCTTTTGTTAAAGTTGTAACATTTGTTTTGGATGTAATTTTTTTTAGCTCTTTAGATAAATTTTTGAAATTCACACTCTCCCTCACTTCCCATCTCAGTTAGCTAATAAGTATGTGTACGTCACTCTGAGAAAAGTTACTCAGGTAAATTGAGAAATACTCAACTTAATAAATAAGTTCGTCCATAGCTCAAACTTACGCTGTTAAATTTTCTCACAGAGATCGCTCTTTAACTCAATGCAAGTTACTCAGATAAAATGTGAGCTTGTAAAAAAATTATCTACATATTTTGAGTGACTTAAATAAATACTCACTCAACTACTTTCCTACTGAGAAACCAACCTACACTCTCATGAAAAAAAGTTACTCAGATAATTTTTTTTATCTCACTTACTGTCCTCCCTAAATGGCGCGTCAAGCGTGAAGCAACTGTCGAAAATCCCCATGCCCGTACAATTTGTATGGAGCGTCCCACAATAACGCGGCGCTAGCGCCGAGCAAATGGAATTTTCATTTTTGACAGGGCGTTACGTGTTGAAGTTGGATGCCGAAGACGGAAAGAAAGAGAAAGGACAAAAAAATGAAAGAGGAAACGAGAATAAAAACGCGAGGACCTGAGAAAACGTCAAAAATTTAAGCCGAGTTGATTTGGGGATAGCGCGCGCTGAAACTCGTTGACAATGGAAAACGAAACGCTTAGCGCTCCAATTTAGGGACGGCAGTTAGAAATTTTTTCTCCACTGTTAGTTTATCGCTTGGAAAATTTATACGCTCCTTAATACATTTGCGCTCAATACTTACTCAGATAACCGGTTTAGGCGTCAAGAGAGCGATGAGACGGATCTTAGAAGACAATGTTCAATGTTTTTTATGCTCGTAACTCAACATATACTCCGCTCTTTACTCTTAGTATACGAATTGACGTATTTCACAGCTTTTCGTATGAGAGACGTTGCATCGATCAATAATGTGGAATTACCACCAGTGTTGCCAGGTCTTCGGCATGAGAAACGTCCCTCTTGGTCTGAAAAAACGTCATTTTCTACCCAAAAACGTCTTTTTCAAATGAATGTACAAAAAATTGTTCTTATTAAACTTTTATTGTATACAAAGGTACATATGTACGCAAGGTATATTAAAATGTCATTTCGACAGAGCACATTTAGACTTCATTGTAAACTGGTTTGAGATCGTTAATATAAAAATGATTTTATACATACACTTGTGATCAGCCGATTAAGTCATCGATATTTTGATCGATTTTGGCTGTTCTTCTTTTTTTATTTAATGTTTATTATTTTTCCTTAAAAGCCAAACTCATTATATGACAAACAAAATATAAATCCATATTTGAAACTTTATGCAAAAATTATAAAAAATCTGCAAAGTTTCAGCTGAATTTTCAACTTTTTATTCAGATTTGTTTTAATTTTTTTTGAGTATACAGTTTGGTAGCCCATTAAATTTCAGGGCAATAATGTTCAAGTTTAAAGGGGCTACATAATCGCGTTGCTTTGTAACAATTTTTTTTTTTTCTTGTAGACATTTAGTTAGGGGGTGGGTTGTCGAAAATGCTAAATTACGTTCTGCTAAGAAGGAGCATAGCAATACTTCAGCCTTTTCTGCATTCATTACATTTCAATGAAGTCTTAAAAAAGTCGCCTACTTTTTTCTGACTTTTTATGCTGCTACAGCTTTTTTGATGCTTTTGCAAGCGTGCGTGTTGCAATAGATCAGCTCTTCCTGATTTGGATTTTAATGTGCAATTGCAAACATTGCAATTAGTCTCGTAACTTCAAGTGTTTACACAACCAGCCTTTGTCCAAGAATCCAAAAAATGCGCGTACACTTGGCTTGCATCATATTTAAGTCATCTGTGTCCAAGGAATATATATCTTTTACTTATAAGATTTAGCAACAGACAAGAATTACTGGGAAGTTAAAAAACGTCATTTTTTACACAAAAAACGTCCAAACGTCAACAGGATACAAAAAACGTCCAAATGACGTTAAAAACAACAACCTGGCAACGCTGATTACCACAGCTAGGCACAGCTTAGCTCGATCAGCTGGTTTCTCGATTGAATGCATATTTCATCTGCTAACAAGTTGGTATCTTCGCATTTAATTAGACGCTATCGCAGCGCAGGTAAAAAGGCGGTGACGCCGTCTGCTAACACATAAATATAAAAGTATATACAAACATACATATACATACATACATATTTAATGTTACGCTTCTTTCACTTCGTTACCTTCACTGATCCCAATATAACTAATTGGTTTGTTAGTAGCTTGGTCGGTTGATTGATTGGCTATATGTAATGATTTTGCAAGCAATTAGGAGATTCGATACAAGAGTCTTCATATACATACATACATACATACATATCGACCGTACTTTGTAAAAACCTCGCATTTTAAAACACTCTCAAACAACGTCATCTAACAAGAAACTTTCTATTAGTAAGAAAAATCATTTCAATAACTTTTTAATCTGAATATTAAAGGCTATTTAGCAAGGCAAGTTAAGAGACTTTGTTCAGCGCCAGAAGTGATTATCTCTTGCTCTCTGCTTGGACTTGTCCTGATTCTATTGGGTAAGAACATTGTTAAGAAAATCTATTGAGCACTGGAATAGATTATATTTAGAAGGGGTTTCCATGCCAGAACCTCTTTTGGCACTGTCGGAAAAATCTCAGTTACGGAAATCTAGCCCAGGCTCTCTAGTCAGGATCAGGGCTTTGTCTAAAGAATTTTCGGCCGGGATGTTGTACATTCGTTTATTTAAAAATTTTAAAGTTTCGATTTTTGGATTGGTGGCAAGCTTTCAAAAGGATTGTCTAGTAAAGCTTTCTCAAAGACTTTTCATTTGGGGCCAATCGTGTAGTATTTCATTTAATTTACAGTTTTTTAGGTTTTACTATTTGAAATATTGAAAATATTTCTAAATCAAAGATTACTCAAATATCTTTCGTTTGACACCCGTATTAAAATCTTATCAATTTATCAAATTAAAATTTTCAAATAGTTTTCAAAAGTAAACTTTCTTAAACCTGTTTAGTTTGCTACCCGTATTGTAATACTTAATTTAGCTTATCAATTTTATTAAATTAAATTTTTTAAACAGTTGGCAACCCTCCTGAAAAATATTTTGGGCTTTCTTACACCGCTTTTATTTGACACCAATTTTGCACTATTTACTTTATATTTATCAATTTACTTTAAACTGAAATTTTGGGAATGAAGGCAAGACTCTTAATTTGTTTCTTTCTAAACCTTCTGGGTATTATAGCGAACAACTCGAACACAAAGATTATTCAAATCGGTCAAATAGAGTTTTTGCCTGTCGAACAAACGAACCTAAAATTTTTATATAATGTCCTATACATATTTACCAATTGATGGGACCGATTGCAATTAAATGTAAACAACAACATTTTCTGTGCACCCTGGACCGATTTGAAAATACCTACAGAAGTGGAGGTTTTTATGAATAAAAATAGTTTCTTAAGGGATTTTTTGAAAAACATTTTACGAGTACATATGAACATACATACATCCATACATTTTGTACACGAACATACATATGTATGTACATATGTATGACATACATTGTATGTATTCACGCACTTCTTAGCTATGTTCATATGCATGTAAGTATATGTATATGTACATAAGTATTTTTAGTTGATCTGCAACCCACCCATTAACATCATGATATATGTGTTTTGAGAAATTTTTGTGGCAACAAGTGTCGACGACATGTACATATGTAACATAAAATCGAAATGTTTAAAAACATATTAACTTTCGAAAGCTGCGGCTAATCAGCCAATAAAAACACACATTCCCAAAAGCATAGAATACAAGAAAAAAAAAAAAAACGTAAAAAACAAGTCACTAAACAGATGACAACATTCCGGACAAGCAAACCGACGAAAATAAATTTTCGAGCTGTCAGAAAATAGACCAACAAAACCGCAACAAAAGAAAAATGTAGTCAACAAATACTTAAATACATACAGACATGAATCTGAACAAGTTTGTATGGATGCACGTATGCTTGTTTGTTTGTAATGCAAAAACAGATAACAGAATTTTGGGCGAGAGCTAAACATTTTCGGGTGAAAATTGGGTGAGGCAATTAAAACTGAAAGTAAAATTTGTGAGATTTGCTTCGAAACGGAAGACTTTGAAGCTAATACTTACTTGCACTTAAACCGATTTTTTTTTTTAAAAATAAAATTGAGCTTATTGCATTGCGTCGAAGAAATTAGTAAATATAGAGCGCTTTGAGCGACATCCAAATATATAATAAAATTTTTTTCGGTATAGAACAATCCTAGGGGTGAGAACATTAAAATTCCGACTTGACTTTTTTTTTGTACCAGCCTAATGTACATACGTAAATACAATAACTATAAAGTTCAGTAGACTACCTTTGGATCTTTTCACTGTTAGTGATTTTTGGTTTGGCGAATCCAACGCCAATTTCCGGACGAGTTTTAAAGATTTCACAGGTGAACAAAAGCCGCAGAAGACACTTATTGATTAATTGATTTTAAGTTTTGAAAAAGTTGGTAAATCTCTCCCGAAAATATCCGTTATCTTAATCCGCGTTGGTACTAAATATATTTTCGATATTTCGATTCATGTTTGGCTTATAAAGTTTAGACTAGCCAAGAAAAAAAAAACAAAGTTTGCTGTTAAAAATTATCTTCTTGGTTTTCAAGATATTCTTCTGCATGTTTTATAAACTTTTGCTTATGCCCGAACCAATT